GTTCAAATAGAGAACATAGCACAATTATTGTCTAAGTGGAATTGTTGACGCTTAAGTGACAGTACAGTTCTGATAACAGTATTGATATCACTGACCATTTGCAATAAATATTATCAGTGAGGATAAGTGCTAACAACTAGATTCCTTGTCTGTGCAAGAATTAGTTAAGTAGACAACTAATAGAAACAAACTGTACCCAAAAAGATCCATGAAGTCATCTGTGATGAGATACAGCCTTAGATTTGGAACCTCGGCAATATTATTCTGCAAGAGGACAGATATTTACAAGATGATCATTGTCTAATCATTTTTTCAGATCGACTTCTGGTTCCCAATAGCCATTTTCACGGTTAACTTTTCTCATTTGCATTACAATATAATCTAATGCAAATGCGATGAAATTATGGGCAATTTTTCTAGTTTGCCCAAAATTGCATCGCATCCACATTGGATTACATTGTCAAGCAAATGAGGAAACTAACCATGAAAAGGGCAATTGAATGCAACTTAAAATTTTAGAGCAGTAGGAGCATTTTGTGTAAATAAATTTTTAGAGAGTAGTGTATCTATTGGTAGCTGTAAACAGCGACACTAAAAATAAATATTTTTGGTTGCAAAAGGAGCTAGGAAGATTAGATCATCCCTAACCAAGGAATATTGTTGAATAACAATAGGGGTGATTAATGGTCCTTAGATAGGTCTCGCAAAATTTTCCCTGAATTTCATGGGACTCGCAGTTCCTGTTTTTTCCTTGGCAGTCACCTCTCACAAAGTGTCGCATTACCATTCACCACCCCTAACAATGACAGTCTCAGTGATTAAAAATCAGGTAATTTGATTTAAGTGATCTTACCATGCAGCTGTTCACTAAGCCTGTCCTGCCCTCTTCTAACTTACCAGTGTTCCCAAAAGCTTCTTTTTGATAAGAACAATCTGTTCCTGGTTTCCTTCTTTGAACACCTATGGTACAAAAAATTCTGTATAAGTGTATGCAGTAAAAGACAGGGCAGTGGGATACATTTTTAGCACTTCTAGATCAGGAATTAAGTGGTTACTTGGTAAGGTATTGTTATTTTTTCATGCTCAATTTTTACTGCACTCAAGAGAACCTGTCGAAACCTAACACTTGCCTGAAGAATATTATCTTGTGATGTAGCCCTATCATGGTTGTAGTTGGTTTAAGTGTGAATAATATCATCCACCAGACACACCTCTCTCCCGTGGGTACATTTTGGCAAAACAAACTACACTATTTACTGGATACCAATTTTTCTAGCGAACAGCATTATCCTTCATTACAAGAGCAACAATCAGAAATCTCTCTGGACCTACACTGTCAATTTGAATTTTTGCATTGAATTGCAGACAACTTTCTTGTGGGGTAAATATATATCACAAGCACAAAGAGAGATAATGACAGTACTAGTGTATTCTGGCATAACACTCATGTAAAATGTAAACTGC